TTCCTCATTACTAAAGGACTCATCTTCATGTTAATGATGGAAGGCCTTTAGAGAGTTCATCATATGAATCTCCCTATCACATGCACTCATATTTCAGTGGMGGGAAYDAAATATTAYGCCMTAKTTTTRTTTAGGTCAAACCAAAGTGGCTCCCACTGACTTTCTCAAAGCCAGATTTAGATGGGCCCTAAACAGCTAGGGATCCGCACGGTTCCTCTTGGGGAGGAAATTGTTGTGGGGCCCACCACGAAGGGAGATCATCCAATGATCTTAAGGACACCATGGCAATGATGTGCATTCAGCCATGGTGTGTGTAAGAGCTACTTATCGAATCAACATGGGCCAAGTGCTTATGGCCCATGAACGTAGCACATCTCACATCCATACATCACATGCATGAAATCCATAATTGATCCAATCAATTAAATACCTATAAAACCCATAATTAAAGCCCAGATATTATCATAGTATTACCATTAATATTATCTAAGTATATGGGCTGAACTGCAAAGAGTAGTTTGGCCCATATAGCTTTTGTGCTGAATTGGGCTTAAAGTAGTTTTAACAAATTAAAATTGGGTTTTGCAGCAGTGGGCCGAATTGCATCTTGCAATTAATCATCAATTCCTGGATCCATGTAGAAAAATTTAGGGCTGAGAACAACCCCATCGAACCATAGATTTGGTCCAACCAGTTTGGTCAAATATGGTTTGAATGGGTCTAGGATTTGATGTTTAATTTCAAGATTTAATTCAAGATCATGATCTGAAATTAAATTACTGATACAAGACAATCAAGAATCAGTAGGAGGGCTGTTTGTAAGTCTGCTGCCTTGCAAAACAGAGGTTCGTTCGCAGTATGCTGTTTCCAAAACTGCAAATCGCAGATGGTTGAACCCAAATCTGCGAAATTCTCTTCTCTGCGCTTTCTACTTCATCTTCGAATGAAATAAAATAGAAAACCTAATTTTCTATTAATATTACATCAGATTTAAATTCCTATACATTCTATTTAAAAATTAAAAATAATTAATTACAGACCAAGAATGAATAGAACAGCAGGTGCGCAAATTTCTTGCACCATTAAAGAATTCGATCTCCACCATACGAACAACCCAAAATTCAAGAAAAATATATAGAACAATTCTAAACATTAATCAGATTAATAAAGATTTAATTTTAGATCAATCACCGCAAAACTGGGAACCAATTTCCCAGAAAAACGTTATCTGTGCAAATCGGGTAGAATGCCTTCTACCCATTTACGTAGATCCAGATCTGGTTTAATTTGGTTCAAGATTTGAACCTGGCTCTGATACCACTGAAGGGATGAGAGATTCATCATATGGATGGACGAACCCTGCAGGAAGGTTGGGCGAAATTTCAAAAATTTCTCTCTCCCATGTGGGAATCGCATTCTCTATTTTAGAAAATTGCATTTTCAAGGATCAATCTTGAAACCAAACCGGACCAGATCTGAAACCAAAAGGGAGGAGTGGGATATACCTGATACGGAGTAACAGTAACTCCCAATGAAGGTGTTCACGCCCAAGGAGAAATCCAAAGACTTCTTCCACTGAAGATGACACGGTGTAGGATGAAACAGAATCAGTAGGACAACTCTTCAACAAGAACTGAATTCTTCAGCAAGAATGTGATGAAGGGCTGGTGAGCACGACTTTAGATTACCTTTTCTAGCAAAAGGCAATATCAAGAACCTTTCTTGATCACTCCCATAGGTGGAGATCGAACTGATAGGGGCGGGAAGAGTAGGAAAGAGCATAAGACAGGAACAGTCAAATTGCAGATTCTTCTCTCTGTGAATGAGAACTCTTGTTCTGTTTTCTTGTTGCATTTTGGGGGTTCGCTCTGCTCCTCTATTTATAGCCTTTAAAGAGAGGATCTCCTAATCCCATTAGGAGTTTGATAGACTTTTCTTTTGAGGCAAGAAAATAGCCTGTGGTTTTATTGAAAATTTCCTCCTCCCTAGTTCTGTATAACCCAGGTTTAAATACAAGAAGTCACTCAACCAATTCTCCTAAACTCCAGCAACC